AGCGCCCTGTGCACGCCCCCAGGCCCCTCCCCATCCCCACCCCTGTTAGTCTCCCTGGGTTGCTCTGATCTACTCTCTGCAGGTGACCAGAAGGATCAGAATTGAACAGGGTAAAATCTAACTCTGTAGCCCTTCGCTTACTACTGTCTGTGGCTCCCCAGGACCCTCAAGATGAAATCCAAGTTCCTTCCTGGGACCACCAGGCTCACTTTGCCTCCCACCTCCACCACCACCAATGCACTCTTTCTGCAACAGTACTTCCAGGGTTTTTGTTGTTTTTTTGTTTTGAGTTGGAGTCTCACTCTGTCGCCCAGACTGGAGTGCAGTGGCCACTCCCGGCCACCGCAGCCTCGACCTGCTGGGTTCCGGCGATCCTTCCGCCTCAGCCTTCCGAGTAGCCAGAATTGCAGGCATGCACTACTACCCCCGGCTGACTTTTTTTGATTTATTGTAGAGATGAGGTCTCGCTGCCCAGGCGGGTCTCGAACCCGCGGGCTCAAGCAATCCACTCACCTCAGCCTCCCAAAGTGCTGGGATTACAGGCTGAGCCACCGAGCCCGACCAGTACTTTCAGTTTTTGAACATCCATCTCCTCTCCTCCTCAGGGCCTTTGGATGTGTGGTTCCCCCTGTCTGGAACACCCTTCTCCACCTGATCACCTGGCTAATTCTTCCTCACCCTTCCTGTTACTGCTCATGTACTGCCTTCTCCTTGAAGCCCTCCCAGATGCACCCCCCCCATACTGCTGGGTCAGTATAGGGGGAGGGTGCATCTGGGAGGGCTTTGAGCTTGCATAGGTGCTGAGCTCTCCCCACCCGGTCACGGCCCTGAGGTTGTCACTGGGGATGACTGGGTCTCCCCTGAGAATGGGAGCTTCGCAAGGTTAGTGCCCGGAGCCCTCAGCCTACTGCTGTGGTCCAGGATCTCCTCACCCCTGCATCTCCAATTGGTACTGCTTGTGTTGCTGAAACACCAAAATCTCTTCCACAGGCACAGGCCTCTTGACCAGGTGGCCCTGCTGGTCGTTTATTAGGTACACCAGCTGCAGCAGGGGAAGCAGGATGGGTGAGCTGGTGAAGGCTTCCTGGGGTGCCCTGATGCCCCCACAGCCCCTGCCCGGCACCTGGTACAGTTTGCGGCCTTCGTAGAAGAGGGTCACCATGGTTTCGCTGGATGCGTAGAAGGGGGACTGATGCATCACCTGCAGGCTGACGTGGGCCTCCCAGCCCTGGGACGGGGACAGCCTGTACACGTGGTAGGTGCCCTCCACGTGGTACCAGATCTGAGGACATGGCATCCGTGCGTGTGAGGGACATAGGACTCTGATCCCGCCTCTCCCTCTGCCCCGGGGGATGGCCCCACTGTTTGAGGGTGAGGCTTGGGAGTGCATCTCCAGGTGAGACCAGGTGAGCCCCACCCCAGCTTTCTGCAGTGCCCTCACCACATCCCCCAGCCCGACCCCCTCGGGCTCCAGCCTCCACCTGCCATGATCACTTTTCTCAATGTTTCAGTCTGCTTGGGTTTCCGTTACTTGCAACTTCAGCACCTAACACAAACTCCCTAAAAGCCAGGGGGTCCAGGACAGGACCTCTTTTTCCTTCTCACTCTTTGCAGCCTCCATGGTCTCCCCATTCCCTAGGCCTCAGTTTCCTATCTTTGCACTGATCCCTATCCCCACACCACACACATCTGAAGGCGACCTTCCCTCCCTTTCCTGAGCCCCAAGCTGGGGGAATGCCCTCCAGTCTCCAGCATGCCCCCGCTTCACATGGGCTCCTCCACAAAGCCCTCCCTGACACACACACACACACACACACACACACACACACACACACACACCCAGGCCTGGGTAAGGCCCCCCTGCTTCTATAGGTAGTTTCCCCCACTACAGCCCTGACCACTCTGAACTGTCCGTTTCTGGGACTGAGTCTTTCTTCCTAACCGGACTGTGACCCCGTGGGGACAGGGTCCAGGGCTGACTCAGTCACCCCTGTGTCCCTACACACGGTCAGGCATCCGGTAGGTGCTCAGTATTTATGAAATGAACAAGCACACCGTGGAATGAAACAGGGCCTCCTCTGGAGTCAGATTATGGCTCAGGCCTTCCATTTGGCTGCGTGACTTTGGAAAAGACACTTCCTCTTTGGAAAAGAACTTCCAGGGTTCTCAGCTATACGTGGTGCTTTTGCCACCCTTCCCCATGGTCCTAAGGGTGCTCCCTCCCCTGAGCCCCTTTTCCTGACCGGCCTGGGCAGAGAGGGGATGGGGACAGGGGCAGGGCAGCCCACCTCCTCGGTCTCTGTGACAATAGCCATGTCCCCACGAAACGACCTGACCAGGTATTTGATGGACTGTTCCTTGGGGAAGTCTGCCAGGTAGATGAAGTTTTGCTTGTTGGAGCTGCAGGGCAGACAGAGAGCTGGAGGTGCCAGGGCCATGGGGCATCCTGGAGAGCTGCCTCCCCAGCTCTGGGCCTAACACAACAACGCGGAATCGTTTACTCAGTTTCTCCACTAGCCTTGTAAGAATATGCAAAGGAGCTGGGCTCAGTGGCTCAGCCTGTAATCCCGTGCCTTTGGGAGGCCAAGGTGAGTGGATTGCCTGAGCCCGCGGGTTCGAGACCCATCTGGGCAACTTGGCGAGACCTCATCTCTACAATAAGTCAAAAACTAGCCAGGCGTGATAGTGCATGCCTGTAGTTCCAGCTACTTGGAAGGCTGAGGTGTAAGGATCGCCGGAGCCCAGCAGGTCGAGGCTGCGGTGACCGGGAACGGCCACTGCACTCCAGTCTGGGCGACAGAGTGAGACTCAAACTCAAAAAAAAAAAAGAACATGCAAAGGAGACCTAGAGTCCTGGTTTCTGCCCCCCCCAACCTTCCAGGTGACCCTCTGGCTTTAGCGCCTCGGTCTCCCCATGTGTAAAACAGGAGTATTGGGTCAGTCATCCATGAAGGTGGTTCATGGGCCCCCAGGTTCCTGAGGGCAGAGAGGGTGGCTGGGTGGGAAGGATCCTAGACTGTCCCCCGAAAACGCTCTTCTATTGCTCACATAGGCTGGGCTTCATTTTAGGAAAGGGCTCCAGTTGGGTATGGTGGCTCACACCTATGATCCCAGCCCTTTGGGAGGCTGAGGTGAGAGTACTGCCTGAGCCCACAGGTTCGAGACCGGTCTGGGAAACTTGGTGAGACCTCATCTCTACAGTCAATCAAAAAATTAGCCAGGCGTGGTAGTGCACGCCTATAGTTCCAGCTACTTGGAAGGCTGAGGCAGAAGGATCTCCTGAGCCCAGCAGGTCGAGGCTGTGGTGGCCATGAGCATGCCACTGCACTCCAGCCTGGGCGACAGAGTGAGACTCCAACTCAAAAAAAAGAAAGAAAGAAAGGACTCTGCTGTAATCCCAGCACTTTGGAGACCAAGACAAGAGAATTCCCTGAGCGCAGGGGTTTGAGACCAGCTGGGCAACTTGGTGAGATGTCACTACAATAACTCAAAAAAATTAGTGGGTGTGGTAGTGCACACCTATAGTTCCAGCTACTTGGGAAGCTGAGGTAGAAGGATCACCTGAGCCCAGCAGGTTGAGACTGCAGTGGCTGTGAGCGTGCCACTGCACTCCAATCTGGGCAACAGAGTGAGACTGACTCAAAAAAGAAAACAAAGGAAAAGGAAAGGAAAGAAAGGGCTCCAGTGGGGCACAGTGTCTCACACCTTCAATCCCTCTGAGAGGTCAAGGGGGAAGGATGGCTTGAGCCCACAAGTCTGATACCAGTCTGGGAAACATAGTGAGACCTTGTCTCTTAAAAAAAGAATAATTTCAGCCGGGCTCGGTGGCTCAGCCTGTCATCCCGCGCCTTTGGGAGGCTGAGGTGAGTGGATTGCCTGAGCCTGCGGGTTCGAGACCCCCGGGGGCAGCGAGATCTCATCTAGACAATAACTCAAAAAATCAGCCGGGTGTGGTAGCACATGCCTGTCATTCCAGCTACTTGGAAGGCTGAGGCGGAAGGATCGCTGGAGCCCAGCAGGCGAGGCG